AGAACACATCTCACTCCCAGTGCGCTGAATAATCTAATGTGAACCAAATTCCCAACAAATTCAACAGAGCAGACTCAATGGTTGATTGGAATGGCACAGCAAGCTTAACAGGAGACATGGTCCATCTCCATTCCTGTTTCTTAAAGCTAAAATATTATTTGCTTTTCTAAATTATTGCCGGATCTGCGTGCTACTATTTTGTGACTCACATTCAAGGCAGTCTTGAAGATCATAAATTCACACATTCAATGTATCCCCAGAAGCTCCCAAATCATCCATCCATTCAATCATCAGGGCAACCAAATAGGGAAAAGTCACCTAACTGCAGGACACTCTTCCCAGAATGCATCACTGCAATGCTGACTGCAGACCACTCCTCCCAGAATTCATCACAGTGACGTAACTCCAGGACACTCTTCCCAGAATTCATCACTGTGATGCTCAATTCTGGACTTGGGATCATTGAGAATTTCAATAGATTCCAAATTTAATTAGATTTAATCATATATAATATGTAATTTTCCCACGATTTTGTTCTATATTTTTCTCAGTGAAATTCTTGTTGGGTAGTTTGCCATGGCCCATGTAACCTTTTCTCACAAAACCTTTGACACTTCAGCTCATTGATTAAGTAACTGGCCTTTAGTGTTCAGTTGAAGGAATCATGCAGCAGGGCAGTGGAAGTTTTCATTGAAACATTCACACCTCTGACACCATGTTTAAACCCCAGCTCCAGAGCAGTTCGGATCTCGTGAGCCAGAACTACCCAAAGTGTACTGTTTGACTTTCATCACTGAAGAATGAGTACAGAAAGGGAATGTATCCTCTTGCTTTGCTGACAGGCACCTGGAGGTGCTTGTGGAGAGAATGGTTGAAAGAGCTGTTCTTTACCTGATGGACCACCGAAGGATGACATGCCTTCAGTGCCTGCCAGGCTAAATGGACATAGCAAGCTATTTCTGGGTTTAAATACAATACCCAGAAGTAGGCTAATGACATTCTGCACTCTGCATGGAAAGTACCACTATATTCTTTATACTACCTCATGCGGATCCACCATTGCTCACTCTAACTTATCATTACATATGTCTCTCACCAAAGTTTGTGGAACAACTCTCAGTGTTGCATGCGGTATGCTCATTCAACATCTCTCACCCATTTAATCTTCCCATTTTGTTGCTTGAGGCAATAGAATATGCCGCCCAAAGTATTACTGTGGTAGGATCAAACCTCCTGTCTTGTAGGTGAACATGGGCGGGTTTGATTGAATGTAAAACAAGCAGCAAAAAATGAAGAAGGACTTGATATCTGAAACTGAACCTGAAATTGCTGGAAGAACTCAGCAGGTCGAGCAATGTCTGTGAAGAGAAAACAGAATAAATGTGTTTTTAGGCCCAATAATCTTTCTTCAGAACTTCTTTGTTAAACTTAACAGTGTATGAAAAATGGCAAGCAGAACATCTCTGGAACCCTACACTCTCGGATGTATTTCATGGTGATTGGAAAATATATTTATGCACATGCTCAGAAGCTATTCTTAGAATGAAGGTACCTTTAACCTTTTGTGTCACATTTCCTTTCAAAATATTTTAAAGTATCTGTACAGTAAAGGGAAATGTAAATAAAAGTGAAATATTTATAAATAAAATCAACAAATTAAATATTGAAGACAGAAGAGGAGAACCACAAAATAATTCAATTCAGCTCTCCCTCTTGTATGTGACACAGGATTGCGGAAGAATCTTTGTCAGATTTAATACAGTCCAAAGAAGATTTGACTTTGGAGAAAGCCATTCAGATGATGTTGAAAGCAGAAATCAGAAAGAACCACACAGAAATCCTGAGGAAAAAAATAGTACAAGATAGCGAGCAGAATTCATTCTATTGGTGAGGTAGAAACCAAAAGAGGAGTGAGCCAAACAACAATTACTAAAAGTCAATGTCATCAATGCAGATCAAGAAAGCTTTGCTGACACAAATATTGCTAAGGTATTAAAAAAGAATGCCATATGTGTAACATTTACAGTAGTAGGACACAGTTACACAGAGCAGCAGGCTGGCAAATAACGACTCACTCAAAGATACTGATACGTTGATGTCACTGCTTTGCCCAAGACCACAAGAAAATGTAGAGAGTTGCGAACACAGCCCAGTCCATCACAAAAACCAGCCTTCCATCCATTGACTGTCTATACTTCCTGCTACCTCAGGAAAGCAGCCAACATAATCAAAGACCCCTCCCACCCCAGTTATACTCTTTTCAACCCGCTTCCATTGGGCAAAATATGAAGAAGGGTCCAGACCCAAAACATCAGCTTTCCTGCTCCTCTGATGCTGCCTGGCCTGCTGTGTTCATCCAGTTCTACACCTTGTTATCTCTGACTCCAGCATCAGCAGTTCCTACTATCTCTATCCTTTGTTTTATGTTGTCTTTTCTCATTCTTCTTCTTAATAAAACATATCACGTCTCACTTCTCTGTATTAATTTTCATCTGCCACTTTTTCAACCATTCCATCTGACTGTCTACATCCCCTTGAAACGCATGAATTATGAAAGTTAGCATTCGGTGGATATGAGGAGTGTGAGCCCAGCATGGCCAAGCACTTATGGACTGTGGTGTTGAATTGTTAACTACGTTTCTTTGTTTTTCTACTTTTTAGTAAGAAGGACTGTAATGTTTAACTTTATTTTCCTTGTTTTTCTGCTTTGTACCTAGGATTCTGTACTTAGGTACCTTTGAAACTAAGATGGCACCAGAGGTGGCAACTTGTAAACTTTTCACTGAAGTTATATGGAGTACATGTGACAATAAACCTAATTCAATTCCTAACTGTTGGTTCCTGCACTCATTGAAGCTGACTGGCTCTGTGTGCTTTTGAGCTGTTGAATAAAGATATACGCACAGTTTTCTCAATTGAAATTTTCTTTCTGGCTTCTTGTCAGATAGTTGTAGATTTTGCAGAACAAAATTGTTTTTTCAGATTGTGCTAGTTGCTGTTACCACCTTATAACGTTGGGAGACCAAACCTCCAGCATGTTACAGTGGTGTGACTGAGAAGTCCCATGTAGATTCATTTTAGCATCAGTCTACGTTACTGACAACATGGGGGAAAGAAACGCCACATAAAATCATCAGTAGCTGAAAGATCTATTCTTAATAATCAGTAAAGGTTTACTACAGAGTCCTTACTAATTAGTTACATCACATCGAAGATAAATGCTAGTTGCTTGTGAGATATCGGGCTCAACTTAAAAGTACATATTAATTCAACTGAAACATTCTAGAATGCAAAGTTAGAGACAATTGCAACTCCCAGGAATAGTCATCTATGTCCTTAATATGATGGATGTAGTTTATCTCATTATATTAGCTAACTGTTCCAGATACATACTATCCTATACAACAACAAAACAAATTTGTAAATGTAAAGGAGTGTCTTAAAGGAGCAAAGAGAGGGGATAGATTTAGGGGGGAAATTCCAGAGCTCATGGCCTTGACAACTAATGGTACAGCTACCAAAAGTTGAGCTAATAACACAGGATTCCTCAAAGGCCAGAAACAGGACTGGAGGGATTTCTGAAATTTGTAGTACTGGAGGAGATTATAGAAATGGAAAGGGTGAAACCATGGTGGAATCTGAAAGCAAGTTGAAAGCAATTTTAAAGTTGAAGAGTAATATTATTGTAACCATTGGGAGTCAGGATGATGGGTGAAAGGGACATGATTCATATTAGGTCACAAAAAGCAGAATTTTAGATTAAACTCAGGTTTATGGAGGGCAGCATATGACAGACTGGCCAGAAGCGTGTTTAAATACTTTAAGGTTAGAGATAATGCAGGTATAAATGACAATTTAAGGAAAAGATGAACTGAGGCTGGAACAAGGTTGAGTGATGAAAGGGAGTTGGAAATGAGCATTTTTAATGATGCTGTCACTCTGTGGTTGAAGTTCATCTTGGGACCAAACACACCACCAAGGTGGTAAGCAGGTTAGCTCAACGTCAGCCATTTTGCAGGGACTGGAATAAAATTGGGAGGCTAGACAGTGGAGTTTATTGTGGGGACCAAAGATTAGTTTAATTCAGGAGATTTTTGCTCATCTAGTAATAGGAAGAACCCAAATGAGGGCATAGACAGGAATATTAATAGTAGAAGCTAATCAATGCTTCCCCACTTACACCTCAGGTTAAAATCTCAAATCAGGACCTAAAAGATGATTCCTCTGGCTTAGAACAAGAGTCCTTTGTGTCCAAAATTTAAGATTGCAGTCAGATAGATGTGTGGCAGGAGAGGTATGGGAAAGTCCTGTTACATTTTAACTGCCAGTCTGCTTGGTTTCTGTCCTGTTTCTCACAACTTGCATGTGTTTAAAGAGAAAGTCTCTGTTAACTAGATCTTCATCGTGCAACTTATCTACTGTTGCTCTTCATGCAGCAGCGAGCTCCTCATTAGGCATGGCTTCCAACAGAATAAAAAAGAATTCATAATAAATGATAACAAAATTAAACTCCAATATTATGTTGAAGCTCGTCAAGTCTGTAAAAAGAGGAATAGTTCAGATGTTTTATGCAGAAGACGGACAAGAAACATATCTAAGCCTGGTTGATACACCTTGTATTTAAATCTCAGGGAAAAATAGCATGATAAAATACTAAACGTGAAGCAAACTCAGGAGTAGTCACAGTATTGGAGTTTGCATACAATTTTAAATCTTACTCCCAGAACAAAATGTAATGAAATACGCAGTCAGAGCAGATAACATTTTGTTAACATTGTTACACAATCAGCTGTCGTAATTTTTGTCGTACTTACTATATCTTAGAAAGGTTTTTCGAAAGATATAGGTCCACAACAGAAAGGTTTTTACTCCGGACTACCTTTCCTTGTTCTTTCAGTCAACCATCATTGAAATTGTAAATATCAGTACACTTTGTTCAGCATTGTTATTAACATGGTACAAACAAACATAAAGTGCAATGCCAACCAATTCACGGTTACCGTTTTAGTAGATTAGCTGCTCCTTTTACTCTATCAGAATTGTCTCAAAAGTGTCTGGCCAGAGCTCCATGCTTTTATATCTTATTTTAGTTTGGAAGTAATTATTGTAGCACTTTACAGAAACGTATTGATATTTCTTCCCTTTTTTTTTCCAATGCTATTTCTCCACTATTTACTTGCATTCGTTCAGACTTTAACTATTGCATGCCCGCAAATGGTTAACGGAAGTTTTTTTTGTCAGTCTTTAACGGTTGGACAAATGTCCGGGGGAGGGAGTGGGTTTGGGTGGGGGGGTGGAGGTGCTCCTGTTTACCGTATTACCTCCAGTTAACTGTCACACTAACTATTAATGAAGACACTCCATGCGAGGTTTTGTATTCATTTTCTCCAGTTTTCCTTCCTGCAGTCACTCCGAATGTTTTGCACTTTATTAATACTTGAGGAAAACAAGCAGGGAATCTGTTGTGCAAAGGTTAAGAGAGTTTTTTTTAAATAGAATCCCTACAATGCGGAAGCAGGCCATTTGGCCCATCGAGTCTCACTGACCCTCCGAACAACATCCCATCCAGACCAAAACCACCCCCCTCCCCCTACTCCAGCCCTATAACCCTGCATTTCCCCATGGCTAAGCCACTTAGCCTGCACATCCCTGGACCTTATGGGAAACTTAGCATAGCCAATCCACCGAGCCTGCACATCTTTGGACTGTGGGAGGAGACCGGAATACCTGGAAGAAACCCACGCAGACACGGGGAGAATGTGCAAACTCCACACAGACAGTCACTGGAGGGTGGAATTGAACTCGGGTTCCTGGCGCGGTGGGGCATCAGTGCTAACCACTGAGCTACCATGCCACCCCACCCTGAAAGGGTTAATATTCAGGAGTGCATTAAACCTTAGACTAGTTGAGTTGCGAAACTTCACAACCTTGAAAAAGTACTTGAATGAGCTCTTAAAATGTCAAAACATTCAAGGCCTTAGGCTTAGTGTGGGAAAGTGGGATTAGTGTAGGTAACACTTTTTTGGTGGTACAGACCAGATGGGCCAAAGGGCCTCTTCTGTAATGTATAATGTTATGATTCTATCACCTAGTAGGATGTCGCCACATGATGAAGAAATAGCAATGGATCTCAAAAGACTAAGACCCAGCTTCGAGATCACCCTCATAGTTTGTAATAATTGGCTGAGTTTTCTCATTTGCAGTTGCAGTGTGGTGGTGAGTGAGCTTCACAGTATCCAGTGCATCATGGCTTGGGAGGAATTTTCTGATGTAACCATTTTTTTTCATCTCATTCATTTTGCAACCTGTTGCAAGCCTGTTGGGCACTTTGCTCAGGGAGCCACTTAGTGAGCAAACCTAAAGTGTTGACCACTGGCAGGACCTTCCAGCTTACACACCACTAGTACTATATTTAAATGCACAAGCTGTAAACCATATTAGATGCTGCAAGCTAGCAACTATCTCTCAGACTGCAATGTTCGACCCTAAAGCTTGCAAAAGTCACAGAAGAAAGGCAAGCCAGCTACCCAATTCCAACATAGGGGTCTGAAATTGCTGGTGGATTGAGTAGTAGGCAGGAGGGCAGCTCTTTTCCCTGTTGACCACTCTCAAAGGTCATACTACCACGTACAGCCAGCAAGGACAGATATCATGGCACCAGACTGTGTTCTGCTTTAGAAGGGAAGCCCAGAAATATAGAAAGAAGGTGAATGGTTTCCCATCTTCCTAGTTCTAACATCTCTCTATTACCTCACACTCAAATGGCCAACTAATTTCTCTTGCACACGCTTCAATTAAATTTTTATGCTTTCTTGTCAAGATTCGCTAAGTCTCTATTAACCCTGCGTTGTCTTAATTATTTAGGATTAATGGCTGTCAATTGGCTTCTTGCTGAGCTAAATTGGTATTCGCTCGGCCAGCCAGGAATCCTGCAACACTCCCTTCCGGCCTCTGAGTTAATTGACGGGGGGAGGGGAGAATGGGGCTGAGTTGCTGCTGCTGTGACACTGATGCGGGTCTCCTCCCATGATGACTGTGGTTCCTCTCACAATAGGCTGCAATAAATTTCTTCATCAGAATCAACGAAAGGTGGAGATGTAATAGGTTTTGAGCAGTGAAAAAGGGCTGGGGGAGACAAAAGAATGAAAGGGAAGATCTGTTACCTGGTGGAAGGCAGAAAAAGTCGAAAGCCACAAGGTTCATGGTACAATAGAAAAGGGCATGGAATTAGGACAGGTGAATAAACAATAGATGTTTGTAGATGAGCTGTGAAAAGCTAGATAGATAGCATGCACCTGAATCAAAATCAAAGGAATCATAATAAAGGAAGAAACTTGAAAGAAAAACAGCAAAAACAAAATCAAGGAACAGTATTGAATCAGAGATAGTAGGAACTGCAGATGCTGGAGAATCCGAGACAACAAGGTGCAGGGCTGGATGAACACAGCAGGCCAAGCAGCATCATAGGAGCAGAAAGGCTGACGTTTCGGGCCTAGACCCTTCATCAGAAAAGGGGGAGGGGAAGGCGGTTCTGAAATAAATAGGGAGAGAGTGGGAGGCGGATAGAAGAGGGATAGAGGAGAGGGTAGGTGGAGAGGAAACAAACAGGTCGAAGAGGCGGGGATGGGGCCAGTAAAGGTGAGTGTAGGTGGGGAGTTAGGGAGGGGATAGGTCAGTCTAGGGAGGACGGACAGGTCAAGGGGGCGGGATGAGGTTAGTCGGTAGGAGATGGGGGTGCGGCTTGAGGTGGGAGGAGGGGATAGGTGGGAGGAAGAACAGGTTAGGGAGGCAGGGACGAGCTGGACTGGTTTTGGGATGCGGTCAGGGGAGGGGAGATTTTGAAGCTTGTGAAATCCACATTGATACCATTGGGCTGCAGGGTTCCCAAGCGGAATATGAGTTGCTGTTCCTGCAACCTTCGGGTGGCATCGTTGTGGCACTGCAGGAGGCCCAGGATGGACATGTCATCTGAGGAATGGGAAGGGGAGTTGAAATGGTTCGCGACTGGGAGGTGCAGTTGTTTATTGCGAACCGAGCATAGGTGTTCTGCAAAGCGGTCCCCGAGCCTCTGCTTGGTTTCCCCGATGTAGAGGAAGCCACACCGGGTACAGCGGATGCAGTATACCACATTGGCAGATGTGCAGGTGAACATCTGCTTGATGTGGAAAGTCTTCTTGGGGCCTGGGATGGGGGTGAGGGAGGAGGTATGGGGGCAGGTGTAGCACTTCCTGCGGTTGCAGGGAAAAGTGCCGGGTGTGGTGGAGCTGGAGGGGAGTGTGGAGCGGACAAGGGAGTCACGGAGAGAGT